GGGGGGGGGGGGGGGGTAAAAATAGTGGGGTTCAAAGGGAGGTGGAGAGTATATTCGAATGAAATATGAATGGAGGACCCGCTGGTCTCTTCTGTGGAGATTGTGAGGGCTAGGTGTGGCATCCAGTCTAGCGCCTGGCTAGAGCCTAGATGAGCAGCCGATGAACAACGGACACTGTATGGGGTGAAATTTTTTTTGTCTTTTAACGTCAATATCTCCTGACTCAACGATGCGATTTGGATGAGTCAAAACTGATTTTGAAGGTTGAAAAATTATTTTGAAATTGTAGGAAAAATTAGGAAATTTCCCTCTGCCGTTTTGGAGTTATTGACGATTAAAAACGGTCACTCCGAGGGGTAAAAACGGGCGAGCCTAAAATAGATTCGCAAAGGATTCTTCGAACATTTCGAAGGAAAGAATCTGAGAAATATTAATTTGCAAATAAATCACCTGTCCAGGGCGAAAAATTGTCGGAAGAAACAAACACCCAGAGGAGTAGAAATGGAAAAAGATAACTTCACAGGGAACAAAAGAGGGAAATATAATCAAATAACGACGAATGGAGGGCCTGTTACTCGCTAGTATGAAGTGATTGAAATGTGACTTTTGCTTTATCCACTTTTCAGTGAAAAAACTGAATCAAATGGTGGAGAAGGATTTTCTTTATTTGTTCGATAAACATGGCGGCCGAGGGAGCTACAGCAACATGCAGATCTGACGCGGAGGTCCGTTGATATTTCTCTTTGTGAAAAACTAAATTGGAATATCTGTATGGATGATGGTGCATAGGGAACTCCTTTGATTCAATATTAATTTGTTCGAACGTAAATGAACCCGAGGGATGAACAAACGCGATAAAAATTTCATTACATTTCTCCTTAGACCCGGGAGTTTCGTTCTCCGATAAAGTTAAATAGAAGGGGAAAATGTATTTTTGGAATATGTAATATGTTCGCTGGGGGAAAATGAAATTTTCCGGGGGGCATGGGAAAATCATTGAGGAGTGAGTTACCGGGGATATTGAATTTTAGTGGAGCTGAACGGAAAATACAGGATCAATTTCTGGAAAAGGAAATTATGTTGAATTTTATTCGACACGTGGGGGAAATCATAACTTCATTGGATAAATGTGATAGTAGAAATATTATGTGAGAGTAACTCCGGGTGAGATGGAACTTGTCGATGATTCTCAAATGGTGTGTGTGTGATTTTTTTATAGAATTCTAGTGGAACCCCAATAGAAATTATTAGAATTTCCGATTGGAATTTCTACGACGATGGGTTTTAAATTAAATTCGATGATTCAGTGGAATCAATGTTGCCCTAAGGTTGTCCTAACGTTAACAGCCAACATTGTCCCAACGTTGGCAGCCGTCATTGCTTCAATACTGGCAGTCAACATTGTCCCAACGTTGTCAGCCAACACTGCCCCCACATTGGCAGCCGACATTGGCCCGACACTGTCCCAACGTTGGCCGCCGACATTGGCCCAACACTCTCCCAACGTTGACCGCCGACATTGGCCCAACATTGGCAACCAACATTGTCCCATTGATTTTCAATTTTTTTTCAACAACTGAGGCTAAAATTAGTTATCCCGGCCGAAAAAATTAGAAATATCGGATTCGACAAATACAATGTCTCCACCTGGAAGCGAAAAACCCCTCAGTATTCATCGTTCATCAGCCGTCGCTTTTGCCCATCAAGTCCAAGATTTTTCCTTGTAATTTCCCCAGATGAATGCCGCCCGTATCAACAATTTCCTCCCCCCCCCCAACTTTCCCAACAATTCTCTTCCCTCCGCCGGCCACATCTAACGAGCCTCTCCACGATCATTCCAGATTGAATGAGCAACTCACAAGATTCCCCTCCACTCTCCCATCCATTATCCGATGTATCAACCACACAAGCATTGACTGCCCGACAACAAGCCCATACCAACTCAACAATGCATTCTTTTCCCTACCAACAGTCGTGTTATGCCGGACTATAAGGGATTACCCATCAGTCAGAGTTAGCGTCGTGCGCCACGACGATACCAGAGAATACGACCAACGCGCGGGTGTAAGCGCGGCCAGGTCCAGCATAAACCCACTGTGAGAGCGTTTCAGAGTGCTCTACGACTTCGGCGCGTTCACATCCGCTGGCCAATAATCAAAAGCCTGAATTCAACATTCGCGTCGCGCCAAACTCCGACTTAACCCCTTAAAAAAAAATAATAATTTATTCGACGCGAATTGAATTTTTTTCTAATACCGCAGTGAAAAGTCGCTCAACAGTTTTTATATATTTCGACCAGAAATTTTTGCAGTTTAACCGTAATTTTAATGAATTATTCAGACGTACAACAGCAGAGAAAAGGCTAATTTCAATAATTTGTAAGTTTCCATTTTGGATAATTTTTTTGACGGAGAAATTTTGAGTGCCACAACTTTCTGTGAAATGTTGTGTTGACAAAGCTCGTGAGCGCTCATGTGATGTGAAAATAAATTGTGTATCAATTTTTGAATGACATTGTTTTTTCATCTCTCCAGTGATACGTGCGTGAAGTGCAGCGAGAGTTGGAGGGGAATTGATAAAAACCGTTTTTTTGGGAATATAAATTGGCGTGTGTCGGGCAATCTCTGCATTCGCCAGTTGTATTGTTTTTATTTCCATAGACTCCACAAGTGCACTAGAGGTATCAGTGTTGATGTTGAGAAGTGTGAGTGGGGGGAATCACGTTCGATTGTATTTGCAAACGGGGAATAAGCGAGGGACAAGGATTTTTCCAATTGCATTTCGCGTTTTTTTTTATTCCACTTGGGGCTGATTTTTACTCCTTCCCGTACACTGTGAGCAGCGGGACAGGAGAGAGAGGAGCGCGTAACAGCCGCGTCAACGGGGACAACGGACAATTTACGATGTATTAAAAATAAAAATTACCCGTAACCGAGGGGTAATAGAATTAAGACTGCGAGTGGGACAATAATTCAAGTGAATAGCTACTGAGCACTGCCGTTACTTTTCATAGTCGTGATTGATCTGAGGGGGAGAGCAACGGTTTACGGGGTAGTATCGTGTATTTGCGATTGAGGAAAATCGAGGGGCTGTTGAAAGTTGGAAATTGCCTCAGTGACTTTCTTCACTGCCGGGAGTGATCACTTTGGGATTCTGGTGGAGGAGCTTTCTATTTGCTCGACGGGGGAGGACGGGATTCAGTGAACATGAAGTGGTGGACAATTGTTATTTTTTTTGTTGGCTCCACGTGGGCGGGGAACGCAATTGATGGGTCTAAATGCACGGATATACAGACGCAGAGGGATTTGGATCTCGATGGGGTAAGATGAGATTTTTAGATTTAGGCTTTTTGTGATTCACCGAGTTCAGGAGGAAGGTTTCGTTGGAGAATTTAAGGAGGGAACTGATTTTTTTGGGAAATCGTGTTGGAGTTATTAGTTCTGCACGGAGAGAAATTTTTGATAAAAAATTTTCTATCGTTCCGTAAATGTGTATCGTTGTTTCTCCATTTCTATCCCGAAATTTACTGAAAATTAATAGATGATGATGAAATTTTACTCTGCGTTAAAGAAATTTTATCCTGATAAAAATGAAAATTATCGTGCCGGTAGAGTATAAATTATTGGAGTCGAAGGGTAAAATTTATTATGCGTCAGGATAAAATTTCTCTAATGTAAAATAAAATTTGATCATCATGTATTAATTTTTACTAAATTTCGGGATAGAAATGAGGAAACGATGACTCATGATACACTTTTACGGAACGGTAGAAAATTGTTTATGAAAAATGTCTCTCCTTGTATGTGACCAAAATTTTGTACTACGATTTCTCTCGAACAAACGATGCGATTCAATATTTTTTTCCCGCAATCTATGTGTTTTCATATAACTTGAGACTAATTGGATTCTGAACGACATCGCCTCCGCGGTTCTTCAGATTTTCCAATAACACTTGTGAAAAAACATCAAAAAATGACATTTTCTTACAAATTTGATGATTCCTTCCAGCGAAACGATGAGATTGATTTCTTGTCATCAAAATTGATGCAACTGTGTATGATTAAGACTGGAGTGAAATTCCAGCGAAATCGTCTCAGCGGTTTCGAAGTAATTCGAACATGAATTTTTGAAATTTGAAACTTTTTAAAGATTTTTTGATACAGGTCAATTTTTTTGATTATTATTTTTTTCATTCTATTTCTCAATTTTTTTCATTGAGAAAATCAAACAAAAAAACTGGGAAAATTTTAGCCGAGAAAATTCAATAGAAAATATGTCGATAGAATAATAAGTAGATTCTGTAAGATTTTACTTCTTCGGGAAAAATTACGTGACAATTTCGCACTTTGTTCGGTGATGAACCTGAAAATTCACTGAACGTTTCGGATTTCTTCTCTTCCATTCCTCTAAAAATTGCCGGAAAACGATTCCCCCTTGCGGATTACGGTAATTGTTCCGTAATTTTTACTGAATATTTCTCTTCGCGTGATGATTGAACAATTCATTATTGTCAAAACAGGAAAAAATTTCAAAAAAATTAACGCGTGACGCCGTTGCCGAATAAATGCGATTATAAATTTAATCGGATTTCCCTTTGATTTCACGCGTTCTCAAATAATTTTAAAAAACCGACTTTCCGTTTTTATCGATAATCGTCAAAGAGTTGTCAATTTAATGATCCCACAATAGTAATGGATTGGAAATAACAAATTGATTCTCTCCACCTCTCGCAACGATTTTGATAAATAATGAGGGGAATCATTCATTCCCCCATTTGATTAGTAGAATAATTCCGATTGATATGCAATTCTATCCCCTGGAAAATATCGGATGCGCTGGGGTGGAGACAAAGCGATTGAAGTCGACACACCACATCCAGACAATCGCAGAATATTCGCTAATGAATGATCACAGAAATTGGCGAGAGACGTTTGTAAATGGAAAATCCCTCTAGCAAATAAGTTGAAGGAAACTGCTTCCAATGATATCATATACCCCAGCAATCTGAATAATTAACCAAACTGTCATGTTCCACTCAGTCGTTATCACGTCCACTGAATTATCAATGTGACCGGGTTAATAATAAATGCCACATCGGGTGGCATTCATAATTATTCCAGTAAGTAAAGTCGATAATTTTTTATTTATTTATTTATTTACGTATCAACCTACAATGGGTTATTTACAATAATATAATTTAATATTTCAATTGAATATAATTTACACTGGTTTACATTTCTATATTTTAAGGCGATTGGTTTTCACAAACTGGTGAATTATTTGTAATGGTTTCGTATTTTTAGAAGCCAGAAATGCACCTATGGTGAATGGTCTAGGACAACGAAGTTGAATCAATTTTTTAACCATTTGATCTCTTCCGTTAGCATAGAGAGGGCAATACCAGATGACATGGTCTATATCCTGAGTCTCAGCGTTGTCCCCACAAGTGCATTCCGGGCAAAGTCGATAATTCAAATTAAATAATTGACACGATGCTGTTTTCGCTGGAAATTTTTATGAGAGCATTCTTTGTCGTTCTTATTTAGTCTTCTTTAAAAAAAAGCATGAGCTATGTATTGGGAAGTCGGACGAGGGCGTGGTACAATGGAAGAGGAGTCCTATTATTATCGAGTCCTGATTCAACCGCTGAACATGAAAACTCCAAATTTTCAAATAAAGTTTTCCATTATAATATTGACGTTTTAAGCTGCAATTTTTTTTCGTGAATTGATTGATTTGTTTGTAATCAGTTACGCGTATTGGATTATTTTTCAAAAGATTCTTAATAATTATCGGAATCGTGTAAAAATGCCTAGAAAAAGTGGCAACGTCGCACGAAGTGGCCATTTCATTTTTACAAGTTGGTAGTCCTGTAGAGTATTCTACTCGGTTCAAGTGTGTGGTGTATAACCTATGTGATCCCATGTGGCCCCACGTTAAATCCATTGACAGTGACAAAAACAAATGAAAAATGGATCGTTTGCCTCCAATTAAAAATACGAAACGATGGAACGGTAAATTAGTAACGGACTCAGTGTATAATTTAGACTTAGAGACAATGAGAAAACAGATAATTTAGCAAATCAAGTTGAAAATAATAAAAGTATTAAAAAATACTAGACTACAATTTGTTATTTTTTCATACAATCAATATTCTCCGTAAAATTTACACCGAATGACTAGAAGATTCATACCGACGTTTAAATTTCGCGCCAATGAGGTCGAGAGCGACATTGTCACATCTCATGGTGGAGTGACCGAAAAACCGCAGAAATCGACGATCTGGGACTTTATTTTTCAGTCTATCTTGGTCAAAAGATCTAGAACAGAGTTAAAAGTCGCGTGAAAGTGAAATCAAGACTTTCTTTCTCGCACACTAGTTTTTCACGCATTCTTTCATTATTTTTAGAGGCGTCAGAAACATAAACACATGTTTATACATGACTTGAATGTTATTTTAACAGCCCGGGATACCCTCAAAATACTTTACGAGCGCAATGAATTCATCAAAATTGCTGGTGTCATGACAAATGCACCACTGGCAACCGCATCCCTCCAATTCCCCAGGAAATTCATCTTGAAATCCTAAAAACTGACGTCTCCCCACTAACTCCCGCCGAGAACTCACCCGCAGAAAATAATTTTATTAAAATCTGAACCTCAGCCGAGAAGAGGATGAATCAATATGTCATCCAGAAGAGAGAGGCGCAGAGGGTAGGGCGTTAGGGTGGGAAGGAAAGGCCTGAAAAAGGATAAAGTTGCATAATTTATTCGCACAGAGAGATTCCAACTCAATAGATTCAGCAAGACGCTTTTCATCACATATATCCGTCTGACTGGATTTATCACTTCAAACGCTAATCTCCTTAAAACATTTGAGGAATTTTTTAGCTTTGAGGAATTGAGCGAGTGCAGAACTTTGAGGGGTGCAAAGAGGAGGAGAAAGATTGGAGAGAATTTCTTCAATATTTCAGTTCGGGGTAAACGCTGTTTGACGGATTTTTTTCGATTGGATTTGTTAGAAACGATGGGAGGAGATATTGGATTACATTATTTATGATTACGTTATTTATTATTAAATCAATGATGACGATATGTCATATTATGCGAAAAACGTTTTTTACATCAACTGCTGTATTTTAAAAAGTATTGAATCGATCAATCTGAAATTTTACACAGGAGTGCAACTCGATGATACTAACTAGTCCTCAACATTTTGGAACTTTACCACATCCCTCATTCATGTAATGGAACGTTTTTTTTTTTTTTTTTTTTTTTTTTTTTTTTTTTTACGGCCTCGGAGTCCCTTTTTCGGGTCCCATTCGGCACTCTATCCAACCCTATGCATGCGGCTGTGGATTCTACACTGTACCGCATTCGCACTTCTATAGAACATAGAAGTAGATGGGGAAACCACAGAAAACCCATGCCGGTACAGGCGGTTCTTCCTCTATTAGCAACCTCCCGCTCGCCGAGCCTTCCGTTGAAAAATTCGGTTCCACGGGGAATCGAACTCACAACCTTTCGCACACTAGACTTGCGTCTAATCCACCGGCCACCGACGTCGGTGTAATGGAACGTCAAAGCAACTTTCAGACAAATAATAGAAAAACGCCAATATCTCGGAAACTTTGTAGGAAGGGGTATATATATTTTGAAAGAACTAGATAGGAGACATCGAGACGAATATTTTGAAAAAAAAATTGAAATCGGATGAATAGTTTTTGAGATATCGAACAATATAGTTTTATTTAAAAAATTGAATATCTTTAAAACTACTCATTCGATTTCGCCCATCTGAAATCCCAGCCTGTGATATAGTAAGAGCTAGAATCCTGCCAAATTTCAATTTTCTATCTCAATTTTTTCAAGCGTCATCGTGTTCACATCAATTTTATCACAAAAAAGAAAAACGTCAATTACTGGGCGACTCGCAATAGTTAGGTCCGATTCGATAGATATTATCATAAGGAATATTTTGACGCCAAAAAAGTTCATTTGATGCAGTAGTTTTCGAGATATTGAGAAAAGAAAAATTTTTCGGAATCGCTGTATCTCAAAAAGATCTGCTCCCAAACAATACCAATTATGAGCCAAAATTTCAGATGTTTATCTATCACTTTAGTCCTTTTTCAGTGAAAATTTAGAAAAAAATTCCCAGAATTTTGCACGCACACGCGGACGTACACACGGAAATTCCCTAAAAACATCATATCTCGATGTTTCATGACTTTCTAAGTCATTTTGAAGCAAAATTAGAGAATCGATAAATGGACCGATTACAACGTTACCATTCGGAAGCAAAAATAATGTATCAAGT